GCGTCGCATGGTTTTGTTTGCTCGAGAGGTAATTTGGTTGACTAACTGACCTGACTGACTGACTTACTGAACGTTTGGTCGCAACCTTTCGCAGGTCGCTGGATTTTCGGCCGCCGAGTGCGCAACCTATGGCGCAGTCTATAGCAGGCTGTTTTACCTGGGCCGCCGAGAGCGCAACCTGTGGCGAAAGCCACGGCAGGCATACCGTTACATGCTCTGCCGCCGAGAGCGCCAACCATTGTTCAACCAGTAGCAGTGTTGTTTGGTCTGTCAATCGCCGAGTGCGCAACGCACGGCGCAAACAGTAGTCGGTTGCCGAGAGCGCAACTGATGACGCAACCAACAGCAGGCCCGTTCGTGTTCACTAGAATCGTGCGCAACCTAATGCACAACACATGGCGCACTCAACGGACGGCGCAACCCATAGCACAATCTAACGCGCAACCAATGTCTCAACATATGGCGCAACCCCATTAATGCCGCAACCAATGGCGCAACTAATGGATGGCGTAACCCACACAAGCCACATAACATTGCCCAACCCATATTCCAACCCACAGATTGCGCAACCCATGGCGCAACCCAAGGGCAACCCATGCTGTTACCCTTGTAGCAACCTGTGGCGCATCCAATGCATGGCGCAATCCATGGCGCAACCAGTGGCTCAACCCATGTGATGCGCAACACACGGATGGCGCAAGCCATTGCGCAGCGCATGGATCGCGCAGGCCATGGCGCACCCCATGGGTGGCACACACCCCTGGCAGTTTCTACGGGGCTGCGCCCGATTTCTGCTCACCTTTGGGCGGGCGGTGTGGCCTCAGCGGCGAGCTGCCTTGTTCGAGCCACGTGGTCGGAGGTTGGGGGGCGAGATCGAAGTGGAACGGAGAGCCCCCCACCGGGAAATCGGTTTCGGTTTCGTGTTCGTGTCGCGCGTGCGGGCGAGGTGAAGCTGCGTGCGCGGGCGAGAGGAATTCATTCTGCTGTCGCTAGTGGTTCGCCAACAAAAATGTTTCCCCCGCCGGCGCGTGTCAAGCGGTGGCCCGCATTGTCCCGTCGGTTGCCCGCCGTTGTCCTGTCTGTCGCTAGTGGTTCGCCAACATAAATGTTTCCCCCGCCGGCGCGTGTCAAGCGGTGGCCCGCATTGTCCCGTCGGTTGCCCGCCGTTGTCCTGTCTGTCGCTAGTGGTTCGCCAACATAAATGTTTCCCCCGCCGGCGCGTGTCAAGCGGTGGCCCGCATTGTCCCGTTGGTTGCCCGCCGTTGTCCTGTCTGTCGCTAGTGGTTCGCCAACATAAATGTTTCCCCCGCCGGCGCGTGTCAAGCGGTGGCCCGCATTGTCCCGTCGGTTGCCCGCCGTTGTCCTGTCTGTCGCTAGTGGTTCGCCAACATAAATGTTTCCCCCGCCGGCGCGTGTCAAGTGGTATCCCGCATTGTCCCGTCGGTCGCCCGCCGTTGTCCTGTCTGTCGCTAGTGGTTTGCCAATATAAATGTTTCCCTCGCCGGCGCGTGTCAAGCGGTAGCCCGCATTGTCCCGTCGGTCGCCCGCCGTTGTCTTGTCGTGAGATCGATCGTGAGATCGATAGTGAGATCGATCGTGAAATTGATAGTGACACCGAAAGTGAGATCGATAGTGAGACCGAATGTGAGACCGAATGTTGGATCGATAGTGAGATCGATAGTGAGATCGATAGTGAGATCGATCGTGAAATTGATAGTGGCACCGAAAGTGAGATCGATTGTGAGATCGAATGTGAGATCGATAGTGGGATCGATAGTGAGATCGGTTGTGAGATCGATTGTGAGATCGATAGTTAGATCGATTGTGAGATCGATAGTGAGACCGATTATGAGCACGACACGAACATGAGCCACAGTTGTCGTCATGAGCCACCCCTCTCCCCCCCCACAACCTCCTTATCACCCGCAGGGTGGTCGTATAGGTATATTTGAGCTCACTTTTGCGAACACCAATCAAGAAAGCGTCTGGAGCACGCTGCAGTGTTCCATGTTATGCAAGTGCATCGTGTGAACACGTCATGCAGTAGCACCGACCCAGCCGAGGTGTTGTAACGCCATGGCTTCAGGCGATGTAGCGCCACATTTTCCCGATGAGGCGCTGAAGCAAACGTCGGACGAAAACCGCCGAAACGCCACATGTTCCAAGGATGCGCTCGAGCACATCATGCCTTGCTCGAGCAAACTGTCAAGCGCGGCCCAGTTTGCGCCGCGGCGGAGGGAGGGGACGGAATGGAGACAGGGATGATGGACGGGGGAGGGGCCTCGTGGATGTTCGTTGGGGTCTCGTCGAGGCCCCTCCGGGGCCTCCTGCATGCAGTTTTGTGGCCTCTAGTTGGCTGTTTTGGGGCCTCTTGGGGCACTTGGGCCTCTTGGGGGCCTCGGGGGTTCTACGTGGGGGCCTCTTGGGGGCCTCTTTTGGGGCCTCTTGAGGGCGAGGGAGGGCCGGTGGACGGCAGAGAAAGTGGGGGACGGAGGGCGAGGCGGGCGAAAGAGGAGGGGGTCAGGCGGGCGGGGGGCGGACAGCCTCCCTCCCCGCCCTCCCCGGATGTGGGGCCTGGCGCGTTCCGGCCCGAGTTGCGGGGCGAGCCAGGCCGTGGCGACGAGGGCGCACCCCCGGGAGGCCCAGCCGCGCCAGGGGCGCCCTGCAGCGGTTGCCCCCCCCGCCGCGCGGTGGCCGCCGCCGGCCTCGGCGGGGGGAGGGGCGGGCGCGGCGGGTGCGGAGGGGGGCCGGCAGCGCTGCCGAAGAGCGGCGGGGGACGCACGGGGAGGCGTCGGAGGAGGAGAGCCGTACATATACAGTCGAGGCTGACGTGGGTCGACCCTGCCAAATCAAGGTCACCCTCGTGTCCTGCGCCTCGCGGCCAATGCCTCCATATTCATATGGCAACGTGGCCCTCGGAGAGAGTCTTGTGTCCTCTCGCGTGTCCTCTTCAATCCACCCCGACTGTGCCCACCTCGTTCCGTGCCGCGCCTCCTCCCCTGCCTCCAGTCGGCGGCGAGCGAGGGGGTGAACGCGAGAAGGGGCGGGTCTTCTCAGAAGCCTCGGAGGTCCCCCGGCCTTCTGGGAGGTTTTCCAAGCCTGCCCGGAAGACGGCAAATGTCTCTCAGAAGGCGCGAGGGTTTCTGAGGAGGAGGAGGAGGAGGATGAGGAGGAGGAGGAGGAGGAGGAGGAGGAGGAGGAGGAGGAGGAGGGAGGAGGAGGGAGGGAGGAGGAGGAAGAAGGCCTTCTCCTTCTCACTGCCCCCCCTCGCTCGCCGCCGATCCAGAGCTGCGCCGCGGGAGAGGGAAGGGATCAGCTTCACTCCTCCCCCTCTCCCCCTCTCCCAGGGGAAGAGAGTCCGAGTCAGAGTCAGAGGAGGAGGGGAAGGATGGGGAGGGGGAGGAGGGGGAGGGGGAGGGGGGGGAGGAGAGGAGGAGGAGGAGGAGGAGGAGGAGGAGGAGGAGGAGGAGGAGGGTAGGAGGAGGAGGAGAGGAGGAGGAGGAGGAGAGGAGGAGGAGGAGGAGGAGAGGAGGAGGAGAGGAGGAGGAGAGGAGGAGGAGGAGGAGGAGAGGAGGAGGAGAGAGGAGGAGGAGGAGGAGGAGGATGAGGAGGAGGAGGAGGAGGAGGAGGAGGAGGAGGAGGAAGAGGAGCACGATGAGGAGGAGGAGGAGGAGGAGGAGGAGGAGGAGGAGGAGGAGGAGGAGGAGGGGTGGAGGCAGGGAGGTGGATCTGTATAATCTGGGGACCCGACACAGATTCTGCTTCGACTGGCTTTTCATGTTTCAGGATTACCCCGCTCGCTTTTCCCACTGTCTTCGTGCTCGGAGCTCGACCATCGTGCTCGGTGGATGTTGGGGGCTGCACTGCCCAATGAGAAGGATCATCGCTGATCTTATGTTCGCAAAAAACGTCCCGGAAAGACCCGTTCTTGGTTGGGATTGGCAGTCTACGGTCAAGACATTTTGCTTCGCGTGTCGCGTCGCCGAATCTGGCCCACCACTCGTCGGCGCGACACGCCAACCGCGTCCCAGCCCACAGGCATCTACTCCACGAGCGGTTTCCATCCCCAGGCCCTGCGGAGCGGCAGCGACCTGCTCATTATCAGCATAGCGCGTCGCCGGGGCCGCCGCCGCGACAAGCGAAGCAAACGCTCCTGACTGGAAGTGCCCAACTCTTGAGGGTGTCGGTGGGCTTGCACTCATCGCGACTAGTAAGGACGCGCGCCTTCATCTAGTGTACCTTTGTGGCCCATCCTTTGCCGTTTTCACTGTTTGCCCGCCGCCGAAAAAATCCAAGCTTCGGCATCCAAAGATCTTGCGCCCCTACCACGCGTCCCTAATACATGTTTTGGCTGTATGTCTCACAGACGGGGTCGGAGCAGATCGGGCCGGAGGACCGCGCCGCATCGCCGATGCACAGGCGATGCGGGTCGATGTGGAGCCCGATGTACTCCGCGCCGACTTCGCCGACGCATCGCCAATGCGTCGCCGATGCGTCGCCGAGGCGTCGCCGATGCATCAGCGATGCGTCGGCGATGCGGCGCTAGCCTCCGGCCCCATCTGGGAGGACTCGGTGGGCGCCCGCCCCCCCTCCTCCTCCTCCTCCTCCTCCTCCTCCTCCTCCTCCTCCTCTCCTCCTCCTCCTCCTCATCTCCTCCTCTCCTCCTCCCTTTCTTCCTTCCTTCTCTCTCCTCCTTCCTCTTTTCCTCTCCTCCTCCTCCTTCTCCTGACTCCCCCTCTCTCCTCCTCTCCTCCTCCTCCTCTCCTCCTCACCTCCCTCCCCTCCTCTCCTCTCTCCTGCTCCTCTCCTCCTCCTCCTTCTCCTCCTCCTGTCTCTCCTCCTCCTCATCCTCCTTCTCATCCTTTTCCTCCTCCTCCTCGCCTCTCCTCCTCCTCGTCCTCCTCTTTCTCTCCTCCTCCTCCTCCTCCTCCTCCTCCTCCTCCTCCTCCTCCTCCTCCTCCTCCTCCTCCTCCTCCTCCTCCCCCTCACCCTTCGCCCAGGCGACCGGGACGGCGAGCGCAGGTTGCGCTGCCTGCTCTGCAGCAAGTGGGCCTCCGGCGCGGATCACTCCGGCGCCGGAGGCGAGCGAGAGGGGGCGGGGCCGCCCTCTCTCGGGGGCAGCGTGGGAGGGGGGACAGGCTCTTTTGGAACCTCGAGGAGGAGGAGGAGGAGGAGGAGGAGGAGGAGGAGGGGGGGAGGAAGAGGAGGAGGAGGAAGGACGCGAGGAGGGGGAGGAGGAGAAGTAAGGAACGGAAGAGAGGAGGAGGAGGAGGAGGAGGAGGAGGAGGCAGAAGGAGGAAGGAAGAGGAGAGGGCATGCAGGAGGAGGAGGAGGAGGAGGAGGAGGAGAGGAGGAGGAGGAGGAGGAAGGAGGAGGAGGAGGAGGAGGAGGAGGAGGAGAGGAGGAGGAGGAGGAGGAGGAGGAGTAGGCAGAAGGAGGGGAGGAGAGGAGGAGGAGGAGGAGGAGGAGAAGGAGGGGGAGGCAGTAGGAGGAGGAGGAGGAGGAGGAGGAGGAGGAGGAGAGGAGGAGGAGGAGGAGAGGAGGAGGAGGAGAGGAGAGGAGGAGGAGGGGAGGAGTGGAAGTGGAGGAGGAGGAGGAGAAGGAGGAGGAGGAGAGTGTGGATGGTGGAGGAGGAAGAGGAGGAGAAGTAGGAGAAGATGAGGAGGATGAGGTAGGAGGAGGCGGAGGAGGAGGGAGGAGGAGGAGGAGGAGGGGAGAGGGTGGGGAGGAGGAGGAGGAGGGGAGGAGGAGGATCAGGAGGAGGTAGGAGAGGAGGAGGAGGAGGAGGAGGAGGGGGATGAGGAGAAGGAGGAGGGGAGGAGGGGGAAGGGGAGGAGAGAGGCAGGAGAAGGAGGAGGAGGAGGAGTGAGGAGGAGGAGGAGGAGAGGAGGAGGAGGAGGAGGAGGAGAAGGAGGAGGAGGAGGAGGAGGAGTCATGGGGGCCTCTCGGGGCCTTTTGGGGCTTCTTGGGCGCTTCTTGAATCCCCCTGGGGAGCCTTCCTGTTGGCTTCTTGGTGGGGCCTCTTCGGGATAGCTTGGGGGCCTTCGTGGGCCTCCGTGGGGGCCTCTTGGGTTTTTCGTCTGGCGTTTTGGTTGTCTCTCGGGGGCCTTGTGGGGGCCTCCTGGGCCGTCTTGGGGCGATCTTGGAGGCTTCTTGCGCCGTCCTGGACGCCGCCAGGAGCAAACACGTTCTTATTTATTACAGCAGCTTGCATGTTTAGACGATTTATGATTTCGGATGCGTCCTGGAAGGCCTCTTGGTGCCCTCTTGGGCCTTCTTGACGGCCTCCTGGGCCGTGCTGGGGCCATCGCGGCCGTCTTTGAGGCTATTTTGGGCCGTCGTGCATGCCGTAGGGGCCCTCTTGGCCGTCTTAAGGGCAATCGTGGCCGTGTTGGAGTCCATCTGGGGTCATCTCGGCCTTCCCTGGAAGCCCTCTTGGAGACGCCACGGGGGCGGCGGGCGCCCGGGGAGGGGAGAAGGGTCCACGGGCCTTCCTTCCTGGAACTCCGTGCTCGAATTGGGTTTCGGTCGAGAAGGCAACCGCTCGGGAACCAGGTCAGCAACATGAGCGCATGTTGTGTTGGATGTGTCAGGGGAGTCCTCGCTAGTGCTTCGCAGGAAGCGAAAGTGACGAACAGAGCAAGGGCCCGACACACACACACCAACCGCTGCAAGCGCGGTGGCCGATATATATATATATATATATATATATATATAGACGAAAGCATTGCATGCGGATGGTGGTCGAATCGCATGTGTTTGGATCGGGTCCCACTCATTTTTAGCAACGGCACGCCTGTTCTGCAACTTACGTAATGCAATCCATGTCGGGACGTCCGTCTTCAAGGTCGGTGATGCAATCTAGGTGGTCCAATGTAAATGTTGCAGCTTACTTGGTCCAATCTATGAGGCCCAGTTAATGTAGTGTGAGCTGCGTGTTGCAACACATGTTGTGTAACATATGGTTTGCAAGTTATGCTGCGCAATACATGTGGTGCTAGCCGTGGCGTTCAATGCACTGCGGCCGCCGCCCGTGCTGCCGCCACCGCGCCGCGCGGCTCTCTGGCTGGCGGCGCGCCGCCGCTGCCGCTTCGGCCGCCGCCGCCGCTGTAGTCTAACATACTGTGCGACGTATGAGTTGACAGCCATGTTGTGCAACATCTGGGGTGCAGTTCACCAGCCTGCATCCGCGCGTGACCACCTCCAAAGCTCGGACAGAGATCCCACCCACCCAGCCGCAACTTGCTGGCAACATTCTTCTGGGCGGCGGCGACCGGGACGATGACGATGACGATGACGATTTTCATGACGACAGTGGGGACGATGTCGACGGCGACGATGGTGATGGTGATGCAACCACTGATGGTGGTAACGACGGTGACCAGGATGACGCTGGCGATAATGATGAGGATGGTTTTGGTGAGGGTGATGAAGTAGGCGCCCACAGAACTGCGACGAGGGGGACGACATTGACGGTGAAGATGATGACCGCGGCGGCGATGGTGACACCGATTGTGATACTCGTGACGATGACCGTGGCAATGATGACGCTGATGATGGTGGTTGTGATGATGATCATCATCATGCTGATTAGGATTAGTATGTTGATGGTGGCGGCGATGATGATGACGATGATGATGATGATGACGATGATGATGACGATGATGCTGATGATGCTGATGATGATCCTCATGATGAAAATGATGATGATGATGCTGCTGATGATGATGATGAGGAGGATGAGGATGAGGACGAGGGTGAGGATGAGGATGATGATGCTGCTGATGATGATGCTGATGGTGACGACGGTGGTGATGGTGAGGATGGTGATGAGGATGAGGATGAGGATGAGGATGAGGATGAGGATGAGGATGATGATGATGATGATGATGATGATGATGATGATGATGATGATGATGATGATGCTGATGATGATGATGATGATGATGATGATGATGATGATGATGATGATGATGATGAGATGATGATGGTGGTGGTGGTGGTGATGATGATGATGATGATGATGATGATGATGATGATAATGAGGGCGATGACTTCTTGCTTTGATGAGTGTGATCAGGGAGTGCGCGCCCGCAGGAATCCAGAATTATGTGAGTGCTTTCATTGTAACCAATCCCTGGGTGGGTTCCTCGCCGATTGAAATTTGAATTCGGCCGCCTCCACTTCAACATTGGAGTTGGAAGCCCCAAATTGAAATATTGAAAAGGTTCCGTTCTGGACTCCAGAATTGACTCGGGCGGGCGGGACGTTAAAGGTTGACGCAGCTCTCAAAGTAGCACACGCTTGCCCTAGCGAGCCGGTCGGGTCGGGCGAGCGCCGGGTCGGGCGGGCGGGACTGTAAAGTCGGACGCAGCTGGCGAGGTAGAACGATCTTGCCTTCGTGGACCTTGGGAGGGAGAAGGAGGAGGAGGAGGAGGAGGAGGAGGAGGAGGAGAAGGAGGAGGAGGAGAATGAGGAAATATGCTTCTAACTTCGTTTTCGCAGGCCAATCGAAAGTCCAATATTGGACTCCCCAAGCCCAGAATTGAGAAACCCCAATATCGGGTTTCGGAATCCCCAATTTCCGGGTTGGAGCCCCGATTTTGGACCAAGACCTAAATATTGAACCCCGAGATTGGGAAAGGTTAATATGTCAATCTGGAGTTTGACAACTCCACTTTTGTTTTTTTACCTAACAGCGAAGACTGATAGGTTTCTAGTTGACTCAAAAGAGCTCACAGATCACTCCACAGGGGGGTCCGGGCAGGTGTTGGGAGTTGCCGGGCGGCAGGTGCCGGGCTCGTTTTTCGCCAACAGTCACACACTTCGTGCTCTTCGATTTCCCAGAACTCCATTCCCAGGCCACATTCTGGAGGGCCGAATGCAACAGTCACACACTTCGTGCTCTTCGAGTTCCCAGAACTCCATTCCCGGGCCACATTCTGGAGGGCCGGATGCAACAGTCACACACTTCGTGCTCTTCGAGTTCCCAGAACTCCATTCCCGGGCCACATTCTGGAGGGCCGGATGCAACAGTCAACACTTCGTGCTCTTCGAGTTCCCAGAATTCCATTCCCGGGCCACATTTTGTTGCCCGGAGCCAACTGTAGGCCACTTCCTGGTCTTCGAGTTCCCAGAACTCCATTCCCGGGCCACATTTTGAATAGCCGGACGCAACAGTCATACAATTCTTCTTACTTGACACCCCAGAACCTTATTCCCGGGCCACATTCTGATTAACGGGATGCAACAGAAATGCATTTCGAGCTCTTTGGCATCCCAGAACCCCATTTCCAGGCCACATTCGATGTTTCTAAGTAGGCCACTTCGTGCTCTTGGACTTCCCAGAACTAAATTCCCGGGCCACATTTTGAATGCCCGGAGGCAACTGTAGGCCACTTCGTGCTCTTCCACTTCCCAGAACTCCACTCCCGGGCCACATTTTGAATGCTGAGGCAGGCTGATGCTGAGGCTGAGGCAGGCTGAGGCTGAGGCAGGCTGAGGCTGAGGCCGAGGCTGAAGGCAGATTGAGGCTGAGGCTGAAGCAGGCTGAGGCGGAGGCTGAGGCAGGCCCAGGCAGGCTGAGGCAGGCTGATGCTGAGGCAGGCTGAGGCTGAGGCTGAGGCTCATGCAGGCTGAGGCTGAGGCAGCCTGAGGCTGAAGCCGAGGCTGAAGGCAGACTGAGGCTGAGGCTGAAGCAGGCTG